TTTGCAGATCTTAAGCCTCTAAGAGAGAAGAAAATTCAAGTGATTCATAATTCTTTGACAAGACTGCGGTGATTTCATTCATTTAACAATATCGTCATTGAAATTCTGCAGTTTGAGAATACTGCCCCGTCTGTTAATAATTTGAGAACAATTAAAGCTTGTTCTTGCATTAACACTCAGAAGAGCAACCTTTTGAGCCCACCTGAGGTATGTATAATGGGCTTTTGCATATTTCAAAGGAAAAAAAAATCCCTTAATGTTTTCAGACGTGCAGGCAGTCATAATAGTTTAAAAGTATTTCTTGTAATTAATATGTTCAATTAGACACTTTGCTGAAGATGATGCATTTTCCTCCCATTGCAACTCATGGAATACTTTTAACTTATTTACTTGTTACTCATAGTTTCCCAAGTTTCTTATCCATGGTATGATTGTTGTATACATGTAGGCATAGTGATGCTAAGGCTGCAGTGAAGGATGGTAAATGTTTTTCAGCTGCGGAAGATGACATGACCGATGTCTATCCTCTACAACTCAGACTTTCTGCTCCGCGAGAAACATATTCATTGGGAGTAAGGATTACTAAAAAGGTCAGTATATGTAGCTTATGTCTTGTTCCTGTTTTTTTTATTTTTAGTTCTCTTCTGGCCTTGCGTTCTTAATGTTCAGAAGGCTAAGATTTGAAATTTCAAGCAATGGATTTATATTGCATTCCGATGCAAACATTTTAAGAAGCATAAATTTAATGGTTGTCACTAAAAAAAGTATATACTTAATGGTGCAAGCTTTGATAATATTTTGAATCATCATCAATTTTTCCTTCCACTTTGGAGGGATCGTCACTTTCTCTTTGTACCTCTGTCTCTCTCTTTTTTTTCTTTCCCTATTATTTCCTTTCAACATTTTAGTGAAAAGTGTTATTTTTTGATATGACGAATGAGAACAACTTTACAACTCCACTGGTGTTCATTTTTGTTGAAATGCTACTCAGTTTACTGATTAAATGACTACCGTTCATTAACGATGAGGTCCTGGCTTCATACCTTTTCCAGACAACTATTATCTCAATCCCCTTTTGCACTTTGGGCTCTTTCATTTAACAAAATCACACAAAGTTTGGGCTTGTCGGGTCTGATAGAAGAGAGGCTAAATACACTAAATATGGGCATTTGGCCCCATAATTTACGTATATTAAGTATTGGACAAAGTAAGTTTTTAATTATTTAGACAGGTTCAGAATATTTGAACTTGTTAACTCTGGTTTGATATATTATCGCTTTCTTACGGATTAAATAATTATTTAGTTGCTTATATTCCGAATTTAGGGATTGCCATTGTAGAATTCTGATTATTTTTGGCATTTGATTATTCTTGGATTGCCTTTATAAGTAGACCTTGGTGGTAGTTGGTCAATGAAGTGTGGGGGCTTTCTCTAGGGAGGGAAACATAGAGCAATCCTACGGTCTCCATGGCTGACAAGGTTGAAAGAAGTTGGAAAGTTGTCTTTTGTCTAGGAGCAGGATACTTACCTTGGTGCATTTTGTTTAGTACTATCTATTTTCTAATTGTTTGATTTACTTAGTGAGGTTGCAAAAAGGATTAAGAAGCTCATGCGTGATCATGGTGAGGGGAAGAAAGATCATCTAGTGAGATGGGAGGTAGTGTCTCATCCTCCTGTCAAATGGGGTTTGGGGGTTGGAAATTTGATTTCTTTAAATAGGGCCCTTCTAAGGCAGTAATCGGAGGTTTTTATAATTCTCTTTGGCACTTGGTTACCTATATATAAGGTAATGGCTGGATTCGGCAGTGGTGGTTGAGTAATGTAGTACAGCCTGCCGGTATTAGATTAAGCGCTTAAACAATAGAACAGAGTAGATTATAAGAGATGAAGAAATTATAGATCATAAAGACGAAAGAAAAGGCAGAAACAGTAGAGTTCGAGGAAAAGGTTTACTCAACATTCAAATCTGAATTTTAAACAACTACATTGAGTATTTATAGCGAACTAAAACCTAGAGATAATAGGATAAAAATCCCTTGCTAAAACAGAAATCCTAACCCAAATAAAATAGGAAACTTAGAAATCTTATAAATCTGGAAAAGAAATCCTACTAGATTTTGGAAAACTAGAGAACCTAGGAAACTAACAAATAAATTAGGAAACTAATCAATTTAGGTCCTACGCATCCTGCGTAGTAGTTTTTCATATTTTTAATGAGGGTGAGAAAAGTTGGTAGATTGGTGATTAAATTGGTGGGTGGCAATAGCACTTCCCTTTTTGCCCTTTTTCTTTTTTAATCCCTTAAATTCCATTTCAGTGACTTGGGGTAGGGGTTTTATTTTGAAACTTAATTTCTGCATATCATTGATGGAAACAATGTGCCATGGAGGTATTAAGATAATATAAGAGAAAGGGAAAAGCTGATTTAAAAGATACAGTTTGAATTTTGCAAGATTCCTAGTGGAACTTGCTTAATGAGACTGAGCTCATGATCACACATTTAGTAAGTGATTTATTGCTGAACTTATGATCAGACATATGTTTTTAAACATTTGTCCAACAATGTGTTCCGGTCAGTTATTCACCAGTAATATACTTAAGTCTTAAAATGGAACTAAAAAGTTAAGGATGGATCAGTTACTATTTGTTTTATTGACATGTTCGTCAGAGTGCACTTTTTCTTTTTGCTCTTTTGATGAAAAACCTACACCTTATCAGAATCGCTTAAAGCTGTGCATAGTAGTATATAATGTCATGAGCCTCTCCACCCATTGCCAATTGTTTTTGAGTTGGATGCTTTATTTCTTTTGTGGAATCAGAGCATGCTATGTACATGTCAGGCCCAATGGCTGCTTGTGCTCCTCACGTCACCCAATAGAAGTTGCCCATGTGCTTGGCCTAAGTCACAGCACATGTGAGGGGGCGTGTTGAGAGAATCCCACATTGGGAATGCAAAGCCTTGCATAGTAGTATATAATGTCCTTGGCCACTCCACCCATAGTCAATTGGTTCTGGTGATTCTGCTTGTTGCGGGATTTCTTTGTCTTCCCTATGTCAATATGATGTTCTATTTTCTCATTTTTGTATTTCTCTGTTAGGATAATGCAGTCGAGTTCTTCAAGAGAGCCTGCAAAATCTTCAGTGTGGAGTCTGAGATGGTAATTAAGCTCTTTACTTGAGTATGTTATTTTATTAGGAGAAAATGGTTGGATTTTTAACTTCTGTTATTGCACCAGTTGCGCATCTGGGACTTTTCTGGGCAGACAAACTTATTTTTTACAAATGAGAAAAGTAAGTTTCCAAGTTATCAACGGCAGTCAGATGGGGTAAGTGATAGGTTGATATGGACACTTGTTAATTCATTGTCATCAACTATTCTGCTACTCTGCAGACTCCAGAATTTGTTTCGTGTTCTCAGTTGGATTATTATTCTTGCTATCCTCCATCTGATATTAAGTAAGCTATACTCATGATCTACCCACTGCTGTATCTCATAATACCCTTAGTTGCTGTGTGTTTCTTTTTTCCCCCTTAGCTTTATTTATTTTCTGGTTGATTTAAAGCCTCCTAACTATTTTGGTTCTTGTATTAAATGAGGTCAGGCAAGCCTTTTCATGGTTAGGGATGGTAGAAGGGTACTGAATGGTCTGATTTACGCCTTCAATGTGTTTCAGTTCTGTCTAAATGCCATTTTATAAGTACCTCATATTTGTCCAATTTAAAGTTGACTATTAGGCTTGTACAAAATTAAACATTGCAGCTGTAAACGAACTGGTTGAAGTTGAACTTTGGCTTGATAGCTTGGTAAACTCTTGTATGATGAGCTAAAAAATCATGCTTTAGATTGGGTTGAAAAATCTATATGTGCTCAAGATCAGCTCCAGCTAGGTTTGATTAAACAAATGAAATGTTTTTTTTTTCTTGCTTATATATGGTTTTAATGGTAATAAGTTAAATTGAACTTTAATGCCTCAACATCTTCTTGTATGGAATTTGGAGCTTGTTAGAGTCTTTGATGTAGGACCCGAAGGGAAATTATAGGGAGAGATAGAGAGAAAAAAAGGGAGGCGAGAAGAAGACCAAGAGGGAGGCCAAATCATGGTGATCTCTCAATTTATTCATGGGCCTAATATTTGATTTGGTTGCCATTATTTTAGGAATTTTAATTATGTCATCATTTGATTTGATTTTAGTTTCCTTCTATATTCGAACCTCTTTCCACTACTAGGCCCATGAATAAATTGAGAGATCACCATGATTTGGCCTCTCTCTTGGTCTTCTTCTCGCCTCCCTTTTTCTCTCTCTATCTCTCCCTATAATTTCCCTTTGGGTCCTACAAATTGCACCAAAATAATGTCCAAAACTTAGCATAAAATACTTTCAAAAATCAATAAACCCTTTATCTGCATGAAAAGTGACTGAACTAAATCCTTACAGTGAAGCACAAATTGTTGAGTCCAGTTTTGAGTTTCTCACAAATGGTTGGGTTCATACACAGTTCATGTGTTTGAGGCATGTCCATTGTGCTTCATTTCTGGAATGGGACAGCCTAAATATGTTTAATTCCCTTATGTTTATGTGGGATGCGTTGATAAATGCCCTTAAATGCCAGCTTGAATGGGTATATTGGTTTTAAAACGATACTAATTAGAGCTTCTCTGTGGCAAGTCTTAGTGTTGTTCCTGTCCACTAGGTGGCATATGACTTTTCTTTCTTACGAGTATGCATATATGTGTGTATATATATAAATATATCTTTCATCTTGTCGATTTATTGACCTGATATTTGTACCAGTGGTTTGGTAGACTGTTCTCTTCAACTGCCTTAATGTCGTAACTCTTCAAAATTGTATGAGTCAAAAGCCATGGTATTTCGGGTCAGAAAAAGTCTAATGCTATTGCCAAGTTCTTGCACATTTTTCCTGGGCTTCAATTTAGTCTTATGGAACACATATACTGACTTGTTAGGTTGGCCGTATATAATTGATGCTTTCTTTCTATTAGGGATGTTAGTGGCACCGCTGTATCTTGTTTAGAGTTAATGCCAATTTCAAGTTGCTAAATTGTCCGCTGGATGTATTCATATTGGTCTTATATGGAAAGTAAATTATTGGGCTTGAATTCTGAATTATTGGCTGCCATTTTTGTGATTTATGTCATTTTGATTCACAAGCTCTAATAGTTGTAAGTTTTTGTATGATTTTGTGCAGATCCCACTGGAGTTGCAAGTATATGGGTTGTCAGATTCCTTTAAGTGCAGGGAAGGGAAAAAAGATGAGAGGGCTGCACAACATTCTACCATCGCAAATTCCTGTTGTGGTGCCTCAGTTATGATGAATGGTTCTGGTGGAATCACAAATTCTAATTTCATTCGTTCATTTTGGGGAAGCTCTTATGAAGCTGGTTCCTTAGGATTGACTGGATTACAGAACCTTGGAAATACTTGTTTCATGAATAGTTCCATCCAGTGCTTAGCCCACACCCCAAAGCTTGTTGACTACTTTCTTGGAGATTATGGTAGAGAAATAAATCCGGACAATCCGTTGGGCATGGATGTATGTCATCCTTTTTTGCACTGTTCATAAACTTATTTCTTAATACATTACTTGGTATGAATGAAGAACATATTACTGAGTCTATCATCTGTTTACAGTCTGTTAATTTATTTAATTTTATGCCCTTCTCTGTCAGGGGGAGATTGCTTTAGCATTTGGAGATCTGTTAAGGAAGTTATGGGCTCCTGGAGCAACTCCAGTGGCTCCCCGGACGTTTAAGTCAAAACTTTCTCGATTTGCTCCGCAGTTTAATGGCTTTAATCAACATGATTCCCAAGTTAGTGAACTTCTTTCTGGAATTTCTCTCTTTTGGGTTCAAGGTTTTTAAGGGTTGGGATGTTCATGTATCATACTATATTATTGTCATAGGAGCTCCTGGCTTTTTTGTTGGATGGACTTCATGAAGATCTTAATCGTGTTAAATGCAAGCCTTATGTAGAAGTTAAGGATGGTGATGGTCGATCAGATAGGGAGGTAGCTGATGAGTATTGGCGAAATCATTTAGCCCGCAATGACTCTATCATTGTTGATGTGTGCCAAGTGAGCATCTTCCTTAGATTTGCCTATTGGTTCGATACTTTACTTGCTGTACTAAAATATGGAAAGCAATGTGCATTAATTACTTTTGAGATGCACTTGATGAACCTACAGGGTCTAGAGTGCTTAATCAAGGTTTTATTACCAAAATATTACCCAGATCAGAAAATAGCTCATCGAATTGGATCCCCACTCCGTTTTTTTCTTCCTTTTTGAGAGTTTAATATAAGGTGAATTTTTCTTATTTTAAAAGATAAGTTTATCAGCCCTATTGACCAAATGCATCAACCCTTTTTATTTTTATACATTGCAGGGTCAATATAAATCAACATTAGTTTGTCCTGTTTGCAAAAAGGTGTCTGTTACATTTGATCCATTTATGTACCTCTCGCTACCTTTACCTTCAACAATGATGCGGACAATGACGTTAACAGTTGTCAATACTGATGGAAATTCTCAGCCATCTCAATATACCATTACTGTGCCCAAGCATGGAAAATTTGAAGATCTCATCCAGGGTTTAAGTGTTGCATGTTCATTGGGGGTTAATGAAACCTTTTTGGTGGCTGAGGTATTTTTCAGTGCTAGAGTATCTGATATGAGTTCCTTGCATGCCAGTGCTATTGGATGATATGTGTATTACACACACACACACACATACACACACATACACACACATATATACATGTGTGTCTTTGTGTTCCTATCTGGTTGATCTCTGAAGATATATAGTTCTGTGCAGATATACAACAATTGCATTTTACGTTATCTTGAGGAACCATCTGATTCATTATCTTTAATTAGAGATCAAGACCAGCTAGTTGCTTATCGGTTTATAAAAGATGTTGAGCAAGTCCCTTTGGTCGTGTTCATGCATCAGCTGATGGAGGAGTAAGTATTATCTTCTTTTTCCAATCTATTGATAGTGGGCAATTTCTATTCTTATTTGATTGTAATTTGTGTATGCAAGTTGCACATAGTTAGGGTGTAAGAAGGGACACTATGTAGGAGTTGTATTCTTTTTTATTTTTTTATATGTAGAATACATTAGCTCAATGGAAATGGGTGTAACCTTTGTAAATAAATTTAAATTGAAAATCTCAGTAGCAATGTTTTATATTCTGAATAGTTATGAAGTGAAAATTAGTTCAGACCAAAAAGTAAGTGAATCTTAGTTGCCTATTAAGCTCATGCGTGCACACGTAACACACATGATTTCTTTTAGAATCACAATATTTGTTATGTTAAAGCAACTTCAAGGTATTTGTCAACCACACTACATTCATTGCATGGATGTGAATGGTTTTTACTGTAGTGGGTGCTCCTTACTTTTATTGTGAAAGAAAAGGGTGTTACTGAAAACAGTTTAGTTCTATGAAAGACTTTTGTTGAGATGTGTATGTGGCGGTTTACTTTATGCCAATGAGGCTAGAATTATTGGTCTCACAAGGTGATTCAACTTTTAAGATTTTCTTTTGGATACGAAAACAAATGTAATATCAGGTAAGGTTATCAAAACAACAGAGTTTTCTTGATATATGCAATGAGATTGACATCTACTGGTGTGCTATGACAATCTGAAGCTGGTTCAGTCTTTTCTTGTGATCTCATATTTTTGTTGACTTAGGAGACCTGAATTTGGGTTTTGTTTGGATGTAGCCAGTACGGTTGTTCATGGGTTGGTTTTGTTTTGTTGTACAACTCAAACTGTGTTGAGAGTATTATCCTATATTGGAAGTAGAAGCCCTGCCCTAGTGGTTGAAATGATCTTGTGCCTCTCCAATCTCCACCCATTGCTAATTGGTTTTGGATTGGATGCATGCATTCTAATATGGTATCAGAGCCAGGTTATCTACGTTGGGCCTAACTTGTGGTCCCCTGTCACACTTATGGGAGTGACATGTGAGGGGGCGTTTTGAGAGTATTGTCCCACATTAGAAATAGAAGCCTTGCCTTAGTGGGTTAAATGATCTTCGGCCTCTCCACCCATTGCCATTTGGTTTTGGGTTGGATGCTCAGATTCTAATGGATTGAGCTCCTTAGGTTACAAGGTCTGTGGCCCAATGCCATGCACACATGAAAACTGAACTCACCCATTCTGAGATCTGTATGGTAGCAGTAGTTTAGAACAGATCAGAAAGAGTACTTGTGAGTTGGGGGCTTAGTGGAGATGAAAGAGGAAGGATAATAGAGGTTAAATTGAGAGGGGGTTGGGAGTCTGTGACCATGAGAGTGGGTGATGCCACTTTGGTTCTTGAAAATGGCATTGGAATAGAATTGAGGTGGCAGATAAGTTGGAGAGGATATTCAAAAGAGGCTGCTGGAGAGATTAGAGCTTGATTAGCTTTGTCCTTTTGGTAAAATGTTACAGGCTTTTGATAGTTGAAAACAACAGCCAAAAGACTGTAGCCTCCTGGTATATCAATATTACGTAAAATATGTTTAGTTGTTTGGATTCGTTTCTAGTGGTTATGAAAATCCAAACCCAAGGCTGAAGCAACCTCATCTGGTTCCTCAAGATTGAATCAAAGGAAACCCAGGAAAAACATTGGATCAGATAAGGTTGCAGTTTCCTCAGCTGAACAGCCCTACCAGCTAGTTTCCACCAACAAAACTAATTTTACTTTGATCTTGTTGAAATAAGTCACTAAATACTATAATGTTTTCCTTAATTTTTTATTTTTTCCGTGTGAAGGTGTTTATTATATACAACCTTTTTTCATTAACTGAAAGTGAAAGTTCATTATTAACTAAAAATGATAGTTTCTTGTACTTTTGGAGATGCATTTAAACGTGTGGCCATGTGTATGTTGAAGCTGAATGTCCATAAAAGAGTGTCCAATCTGGGAATAGCAGAGAATATAGTGACTGGTTGATTGTAATTCTTATATGAATTCTTTTTCCCGGTCAGAAAAAACAGACTTTTGTCTTTAAGAAAATGCAATATGGGTATTTTTTATAAGAGATATTTAGTCATGTACCCATTCTTAGCACTAATATTATAGATAAACCCTACACCATTTAATTTCTATAAACAAACCCAAAAAAAACCCAAAAAATGACAGTTGGCCCTATTGAATTTAATTGTGATTATTAAATTACTTTGATGTCCTATTGAGTGTTTTGGGCTTTTTTTTATGAGGTTTTGGGGTTGGGTTTGTTTTAAGAAATCAATGGCAGTTTTGTAATTTAAAAGAAGTTAAAAGTCTTTTTGTTATGTTGTAAATGGGCTTTGGGTATGTTTCTAAAGTCCATTTCATATAGGGTTTTTTTTATAATTTAGGCTCCTATATTGGGTATAATAGTGAATCTCCCTTTTTATAATTTACACCTAGCATTTTGATCTCCTAGTAGTCGTAATTTTCAAGACTAAGGAATATGCTCTCTGATAAGTTAGTTCTTCATTGACATACTGGGTCCTGTGTACAATTTGCTGATTCTGACAGGCAGTACATGCCCACTCTTAACCCTCTTATTTGTTCTATATTGTCAGGCAGTACATGCATGGAAAAATGACATCAAGCTTTGGAATTCCTCTTGTATCAAGACTTGGTAATTCTGCTAATGGATCAGATATCTGCAATTTGTACTTGAAATTACTTAAGCCATTTCAAACACCTAGAAACGATTCCCAAGAATGTCTTGATAGTTCAGAGAGCACCACTCTTGAAGAAGTCAGTGGAATACCTCCTGTTTTTGGTGGGGGTGTGAACCCCTGCTATGGAAATGGGGCTGACTCACCTTTGGATTTTGGTTTTCAGTTTTACATAACAGATGAAAAGGGAACTTCCAAGGATAGAAAGATAGTAATGAATGAGATAGTAGAGAAAGAAGAGTCCAAGCAATTAAATGTGCTTGTATGTTGGCCAAAAAAGTACATTGCAGAGTATGATACTCGCCTTCTTAGCTCATTGGCAGAGGTTTTCAAGTCTAGCCTTTTTGCGAAAAAGCCTCAGGAGTCTGTTTCTCTGTATAAGTGCCTTGAAGCTTTCTTGAAGGAGGAGCCTCTTGGACCAGAAGACATGTGGTGAGTGGGTGCATCTTGAGCCTTTTAAATTTAGCTTTGAAAGTATTTTGTGTTGCATACACCTATGATTTGGAAGAGCTGAAATGTCTTGATCACTGAATGTAATGGTTTGTTCACTTGGTTTATTTCGTAGAGTCAAGGACAGTTAGGTAGGTTATGTGAAATTGTAGTTATTTCATTTACTCATTGCAGTACTTTTGACATCAATTTTGGATTGAAATCTTTTTCCAGTCATCTATAGATTTCTCTGTTTGGATTAGGATATTAAAGCTCTACTGGTTGCGTCTTTATTTTATTGCTTATGCAAAATACAGAATTGCAGGTTTCTTGTGATGCCATTGACATTAGCTCCAAACTTATAACGTCTCACTTGTGCTGGATTGCTTTCGTTAGAACAAATTACATAATAAAATATTTTTCTTCTGTAATATCTGTTAAATCATTAATTTTTATTTATTTTATCAATTTACCTCTCACTATCTGACTATATTATCCCAACACCCTCATCTAAACAGCATCCCCATCCACTTTTGGTAAATGATCTTGTAATGCTCAAAATATTGGTCTGTCAAGTATTACTCGTTTTTATTGCTTAGTTTTGAATACTTAGGACTAACACACAAAAGGTGATAATGTTATATTCTCGTGGTATAAATTAAGACAAGGTATTTAGAGTTTAGTACAATGTCTCAACCTTTTATTACTTTGTGAGAAGGTATTTATAATGTTTGCTACCATTATTGCTATTTTAGGTATTGCCCTGGCTGCAAAAAACATTGTCAAGCCAGTAAGAAGTTGGATCTTTGGAGACTGCCAGAGATCTTGGTGATTCATTTGAAGCGGTTCTCATATAGCCGATGTTTTAAGAACAAGCTAGAGACATATGTTGACTTCCCTGATGATAATCTTGATTTGTCAACATACATTGCCTACAGGAGCGACCAGTTATGTAATCGTTACATGCTCTATGCAGTTAGTAATCACTATGGAAGCATGGGGGGTGGTCATTATACTGCATTTGTCCACGTAAGTGGTGCTTCTTGCTCAATGTTTCTTTCATTTAGTTTTTGCCTTTTTTCCTATATCTGGATGAAGAATTTCATCAACTTTCTGTTCACTTTTTTTTAATTATATAATATGTTCGCATTTCAAACATTATGGACTCAGAGCTAATACATTTCGGTTCAAACCTTTGTAACCTCTATCATCTCCCCTTTCTCGAAGAGTATTGCATTGGAATCTCCATGTGTTTTATACATCATATGAAAACATGCAATAATAATTTCTACACGATATGGTTGGTAACTAGACATTACAGCTGAGGCATAGATTCTTATAACTTTGCTACTTAATCTGGTAGCATCAAGATTTGACCGGATGCTGGAAGAAATTGAATTAATTATAGTTACTTAGTTATTCCTTTTTGTTTTTAAATCTCTTCCATGTCTTTTTTTTTTTAATAGACAATCTCTTCCATGTCTAACCTGAGAGGCTTTGCACTTTGTTGCAAAAGTTCACTTTGGGGTTCATTTAATGTCTCTCATACTTAGTGATAAATTACTAAAGTTGTCCTCATACCATCAAGGCACTGCAAGTCATACAAGAGAACTTGATCAAGTTAATCTAATATCTGTAAAATTAGAGGCTTATTTTCCCTTTTCTTGTAATTTGGTATGATTTGATGCATAGGTTAACTTATGTTGCTTCACACTGAAGTTCAACTGTATTTTTTTTCCTGGTGTAGCATGGGGCTGATCGGTGGTATGACTTTGATGATAGCCATGTTAACCCTATCAGCCAGGATAAGATAAAGTCTTCAGCTGCTTATGTTCTTTTCTACAGAAGAGTAATAGAAGTGTGACATTAGAGTTGAGATGCATCTTTGGAAGCCCTTTTATCGTGGTGAGTGAATTTTTCAAATCAGTCCTAGGACTGTAACCCCAAAATGTCATTCTTTTAGTCTTCAGCATTCTTTATTTCGGATTGAGAGTTTCCGTTGTGAATGAAAATGGGGGAAATTCAGAAAGAGTGACGGTACCGACCTATATAGAGGGGGTGCTTAGAGGATTGTAACATAGTGACAAATGACAAAAAGAGGGACCTAGGATACTATATAGAGTTATAACCATTTGATGAAGAGAATTGAACTCCCTGGATTAGAGAGATTTCTGAAGTGATCTGCTCTATGAAAGTGTAATTTTTTTTACTGGGATTAGATATTTGATGGGCAATTCATTAATTTATAACTTTGTATTAGCATTTTGGCGATCTTTATTTTTCAACGCTCAGTAATATTTTTAGCTTTTGAGCTTGGCTTCTTTCTCATTCATCTTGTAAATATGATCTGCTGGGTGCAGTACTGCCAATGACCTTGGGGTCGTGTGTACTTCTTCCCTTTGGTCATATGGAACTTCCTCTCCAGTCTTTATTATAATTTTTTTGGTGTATTTTTTATTGGTTGGTGATGAAATAGGGTTTGGTTTGGACAACTGTCTGAGCCCTGCTATCTAATGAAATTTATTGTAATCTCTTTCATCTATAATTTAGCGAAAGCTGATTTTGTTTATTAGATTGCTGCATCTTGTCTAATTTCTGTTATTATATATGCCATAAACTGGCATGGGATGTTCTGATGCTAGCCTTTTTCACCACTCAAATTGGTTTGTTTTTCTGTTATCTAAAGATGACAAAGAAAGGGAATGAGAAAATGCAGATGATAGTTGTGAAGGTGAGAGGAGAAAATATATACAATAAAAAATTAAAAGCTAAAATATAAAAACAATTTTAGTTTTCTTTTTTTTTTAGTTTATATTCGTGTATGATTCTTTTTCTCTTTTTTTGGGTTTTGTTTATCATCTCTCATATTCCCTCTTTTTTCTTTAATTAAAAAACAATTTGAAAGTATAGAAGAAAATAAAAGTACCAACCAAGCAGGCCTTTAATATAAAATTCTAGTAATATTTAGTGAAAAAAAAATATTATTAACAATGGTTAATGATTAACAATTGTTGAAGAAGCTTAAACATCTCACACGCGCATACCTTAAGTCGAACCCAAGATTAGGGATGGACAATGGAAACTACATGGCTATACACAGCCGCCGCTGCTGCCGCAAGCATTAAATTCGTACACGGTACACCTAATAGGTTGGCTCATCCCTACCCAAGACACTGGAAGTAGATGGTTTATCATGCCCAAAAAAAATGTGATTAAAATAATGAGACTTTTGATTTGGGCCCAATTAGTTAGAACAACTTGCCCAAATCTAATTTGTATTAATTGGACTTAATAAAGAGACTATGACTGTACATAATATATTATATCCATAGCTTCCATTGAGGGACGTCTTTGTAAAGCCCACTCCGTATTGTATTTTATGAATCAAAACTGTCTATTTTATAGATTATATTCCAAGATCATCTCTACAAAAAGCACTTGAATCCAATATCATAGACCACTAAATTGAATTATTGAAATTTTAGTACTTTCTTAAAGCACCGAGTTTATTAATTTTGTAAGACACAATTGGATGTCGAAACGATTTTTGATTTGTCCAATTTTCTGCAAGGATGATCTATAAATGTAGACTTAAAAAATAAATGATTTGTATCGTTTAAAAAATATTCGTAGGGGGCCTTAAAGGGTGTCTCAATAGAAAGGGACTATATTTTTTTTTTGTCATTCGATAGGGAGGGGGATGAGGGGAGTATTATATTGAATTGCCTCAAGATTGTCTTCTACTTGGATCGAACTTGGGTGCACTTGGGGAAAAAAGGAAGAATTTGACCCCCTTTTTCACTGTTGTGTCAGCCCATATATATTAAAGTAATAAAAATTGGAGTATATAGATTGTACAGAATATATATTGAAGTAATAAAATTGGGGGACAGCATTGGTATACTTTCATTTTCATTGAAGAAAATCGCAGTATTTATATTTATAGTAAGTTGGACCACGTTACTTGTCTTTCCTATCTCGGTGTATAATTAAAAGATAGGGCCAGACCAGACCCACCTGTTGATTGTGTTGACGCCAGGACCACTGTCATGATTTGCTTTGCCTTCACATCTTGTACACTTCGTGTGGTTCTCAATCCCCTCATATGAAATATAAGAAGTCTCCCTATACATCCACATGAGGTACCCTGGTTTCTTCTCTAACGCCGGTTCGGTACCCATTATTAGCGGGGTGGGCAACAATCCGGCCGAATTGATCAAATCAGCCAATTTAAATTGTATTGACCGATTTGGTTTGGTTTTAACTAAAAAAATAATTAAACGGTTTAAACCAAACTCGACGGTAATAGTTTGGTTTGATTGCAAATTTGAGTTTTTGTAAATTAGCCTAAAACGAATCCAGATAAAGATGCATTTTGAAGTTTGATGAAATTTCAAAGTTTTTGATAAATTTCAAAGTTTGTTGGCATGTTGGATTTTAGGATGGTTGCTATAAAATGAAAAATATGTAGCAAGTTAATGGATTTTTGTTGTTGTAATTGGGCTAATTGGTTGTATTTGTTCTCAAAGGATATACAAAAGGGCTTGCAGCACATTCCTGTGCAGTATAATTGGTTGGCAGCAACGTGATATCAAACATTCCACCACTTAGCTTAGTACGTTAGCATATCATGCTGCAAACAAGTTCTTTTCACTTTGGCAAGCTCGTTCCTTTCATTTCAGAAGGTAAAGCACACAAGGAAAACAATTTGCAATTAACATTTGGTGCATAATGTTGCAAAAATAGGATATAAAGATTCTTGACTCACTCTATTCTAATCCTGGGTACGGTACAGCTTCAAAATTTGATATCAGTGACATCTTAAATATCCTACATGTCTACACCACACTCAATTACGAACATACTTTCCGTTAGTGACATACATCAACGCATACATTTTGATCCCCGTAGTCTCTTATATAACCTCTGACATATCAATTCTCAGTAAACTGGTGCTGGCAATTGGTGCACACGTAGAAAGTAGTTGCTCCTTCATCTGCTGATCGCATCTATACAAAAAGATAATAGAGAAAGAAAAGAAGGCGACATAGAAGATAATTAGATGACAGGAAAAATAAGAAGCAGAAGAAGAAGACAATTAGATGATTGGGCGTTTGTAGAATACCTGTCTGGAATAATATGTATGCTCATTGTGGCCACATTTTTCACATGTTTTAGCATCTGTCTGTTAAGAGGAAAAATAGTACAGAAAAATGAAAAGCAGATTCCCAAACAAATACCACACCTTAAATGAAAACTGAAAAGCACAGCTACCTTTTGCAATTGCACTTTTTCTTCACGAATAATTGATATGCCTAGCTCCCTTCTAATATCCTGCAACAAGGACACATATAGAGTAATCCCTTGGTTTGGTGATACAAACAAGTCAATTCAAGCATCACCATCTCTCCCACCCCGAAAAAGGAATAGTGTTCCAGTACACACACAAAAGCACACATAGATTAAGATTAAAATGATTATGAACTTTCTTCTTAGGCAGTAAGATGTATATATGTTTGTGTGTGTGAAGGGTAGGGTAGGGTAGCTTTTGCATCAGTACATAATGAATAATAGTATCGACCAAATGCAGCAACTATGAAAGACATAAGAACTTGTCACGAAAGATGGGCATCAAAAGATTAGTTTTGGGCATACCTCAGCAGTGGCTGTGTAAGATATTTGTCTTCCGGAGATCTCTGAAGACAATGGTAATCATTTTAGGAATATACAAAACTAAGGAGAGGAAACATTAAGTTAAGGGTTAGTATTTAAGAGTCATTTATAAACCTATGAAAATGGTATTTATGCCATACATAACAAACTGTCCAAACATCATGAATTTGGTAAATGTGGTACCACACAAGTTTGTAAACTACAAAGTAAGACTTGCAGCACAAATGGTACTGCTCAGAAGAATACAAACCCCAATACCAATACATGATTAACATCTATAACATTTAGAATATAAACCAATTCCAAAAAGTAAATTCAATTTGAAATTAGTATATATGATTAAAATTTAGTAATACACATGTGCTGACATGGGAATACATGCATGCATTCACATGCAATGCTGCATACAGAGAGATTTATTTATCCATCAATCATCTGAAATAAAATTTAAAACTTGAAAACAGATTAAACATGCAAGTCAACGTGAAAGGCTGAAAGCTCAAGTTTCCTCTACCTTTCGCACTTATCTTACGCTTGCACAAGGGGCATTGAGCATGCTTAGTTGAACTCAACGTTCGCATAGTCCCACACAAGTCGCAGAACATGAAATCACGCCCTTCAGAATATGCCATGAAATGCTTCTCCAATGAACCGTTCACTATCATTGATGAGTCTGCACATAGCCCTTTAAGGATTAACAAAGTAATATCCAAACATGTCTAGACAGGTGCATTGAGAATGAGATTTTTCCAAGAAAATGCATGAGTTCTGTTGAGCATTTCATCAAATAGCTAGTGTGGCACTTAATTTGTCCATGTTCCATTCTTAAAAAGGTCTACCAAATCAAATTCATATCTGATAATTTCATTCATATTACTACAAGCTGAACAGCGAATACAACAAACAAACGAGCAGCAGCTACTAAAAAGACCAAATCATTATATAACCAACATTACTGGAGTAATAAGTTGAAGAAGAAATTGAAAACAATGATGCCTAGATACTGCTACAACCTATGTTGCACCGATACGCCGGATTTTGGGGGTATGCTCGTATCTGATACGATACGATGTTGACTTTACGATACGGCTCCGATACTCCATTGATACGGTCACGATACGGTCGTGATACTCCATTGATGGCAACCAAAAGAGAAGAAGAAGGAGTTATTTATTTTCTCTCTCAATGCTCGTGCAAAGAAGATTGACTGATGCCATACTCTTCTATAATAAATAGTTATTCTAGTGCAGCTAGGAGAGCTAACTAAGACTAGGAGCTGTTCGGGAGAACTCCGATTTAAGACGATTTTAAATAGACGAGATCAGATCGTAGAATATCAAAGTCTGTTCCCGCGTCCCTGGTTCTATCAAACCAGACTATTTCATTCCAGGGAGCGCTAAGAAGCAAGGCCGGAGTGAAATGAGCGTAGGTTAGGTCAGCTACCAACTAAGCTAGGAAGCCGGGAAGAGCCGGTAAGGCTAGGAGGAAGGAGGACTAAGGAAGAATGAAGAAGAAAAGAACTTACTTGCGCTTGCAGCCGCTGCGATTATTCAGTTGCAGACAGTTGCTGTGCGAAGAAGAAGAGGCGGCTAACTAATGAAGAAGATGATGTTAGGTGCCCTTATAACAATACGCACCGTTTTAGCTATTAGGTAGCCTATGTTAAAAAATTGTTTTATACCTTTTTAAATCTGATGCTTTTATTTGGGCCCAGCCCAAGAACTGGAAAAAGGCATTATATGGCCTAGAAAAACATACGGAACCAGAAAAAAAAGCCCTAAAATGCTAATTTTACATATATATGTTTATATATTTATAATTTTTATATTTAGATTATTTTAATCACCGTATCGGTGCCATACCCGTATCCTATTTTTTAGAGATTTACTGTATCGCCATACCCGTATCCATATCGGTGCAACATAGGCTACAACATATGTAAATCAGTATTTTTCTGATGATGGAGAACTAATCTCCATAAATCATTATTCAAATGTTTATAACAATAATCTAGAGACAGTGCAAATGTTCTGTGTTTTCTAGTGGCTAGCAGCTGAAATATTCTCTAATACAAATAGGAGCAGAAAAACGCAATCTTTGTTACATAAGGGAACTAGCCCCCACCCCAGTTTTGAACACCTTACACAACCAAGTGCAATTTGAAGAACAAAAATAGCAAACCCTTTACATTCTCTCTGTTTTTTCTTTGCTTTTCAATCTAGCATTCAATTTGTTCAGCCCTCACAACTAGGGGATTCAATACCTTCAGTTATGAAGAAGCACATAAAAAATACAGCAACACCAAAACCCAAAAACACAGCAACAACAAAATACAAAAACAGTCCAAATATCAAATACCCACAAATTAAAACTGTTCAAAAACACCAAATCAGAAACACCCAAACAATCCAAGTCAGAGATTTTCGTACCTTTGATGAAAGCCCAGGCAGTGAGATCTGTGAGAGAGAGAGAGAGAGATGAGGATATGAGTGAGACAGAGAGGAAAATAAACTAGGCATGCAATCTCCAAAATCTTAAACCCTAAATCCAAAATATCAATTTTAATATGTTTATTATGGAACTTTGAATGTCGAAGAAAGATTATGATATTTTATTATGATTTTTAGTTTTGGGCTGGTTGAACCTTCATTAGTTTGGTTTGGTATCCTATTCAAATAGGGAACTCAAAAATTTTGACTTTTCTTAAAAATAAGGAGTTCTTAAATCTATTTTTAAGATTCAAAAACTTATTTGGTATGCGACTAGAAAACTGTTTTCAAATCTTAAAAATTTGAGAACTTGTGGGTTGTTAGAAAAAAACTGAAAAATATATATTTTTTGTTTTTAATAAATGGGGTGTTTTTTAGTTGTTCTTGAGTTTGAGTTTTTAAAAATAGGGCTACCAAACAAGTTTTCTTTGTTTTGGACTTAAATTCTGTTTTTAAATTCAAAAAGTTGGATTCAAGTTAAATACCAAACATGCCCTATTTATTTATGAAGGCCCAAATTCTCAAGTTTTTGGCCTTTTTTAGCTTCTTGTTTTCGCAAAAGAAAAAGAGATCAGAGAGGACAGCCTTACCGCAGTTAGAACTTAGAACAATTGATGAGATATATTGAATTTGTATTTTATATAAATGATGGTTAGTAGTTACCTAATAGTTTAGTTTTCATTCTATTGATTCTCTTGTTGCAACGAGTTTTACCTTCATGTTGTAAGAGTGAGTAAGAGGAATGTTAACTTAGACGATTCATAATTTGAAAATGCGGTGGGCTAAACTTTTAAGCCTATTTTCACAAGTGAATAGGTTCTCTCGAAATTTCTATGGAGTGAAAGGTTTTTCACTAGGATGCTAGAATGAGGGGTTATAGTGAGAGAGTCCTTATAGTGGTAATTTTTCAACCTTGCATACAAAACCAGGTTGTTGCTACTTCCAAGCTTCTTTTTTATTTATCTCATAAACTGAAATATATCCCTATCAAACCAAACACTATTCCATTCACAACCCAAGTCTTTTCTACCTTAGCTTCTAATTTACTTAAAAACTCAACTTCCAATACTCTGATTCCCTGCTTGTCCCCACATCAGGAGAAACACTTGTGTGCAATGAGGATAACACTGTTTTGCTATCCCTGGCCAATCATGTTATGCCACGTGTTATAACTTTTCCACTTGGCTTAGCATGATTGGCCTTGCTATCTCTGTTTCATATAAGAGTTTTTCTGCCATATTAGACACCGAACTAAAGAAATGCAAAAAAGATAGAGAAGTATATATAATAAAGAGATTACTTTAGACTATGGTCTCAAGTTCGAACCCCTATGGCACCTTGGTAGTGTGTGTGAACCCCTCTCTCCCTTATAGTTTAGACTCTCACTTGTATTTTTTTTTTTAAACATTAAAGAAATTGATACTACATTAGATACCAGTTTCTCATCTAGAGAAACCCTTAATTCTTAATTCTAAACAAGAATTTAGAAAAAACGCTCAGAAATTAAATTACATGAAAAATCAAAGTAAAAGAAGAAGAAGAAGAAAAAGAAGATGAAGAAGAAGAGTGGCCAGTTATGTCTATATAAGAGCAGTTCTACCTCATTGTGCCATGGTAAAGGGTAAGGGCAAGTAAAGGCAAACAACCCTAGCAATTTTTTGATGCATTCCCACCCATTGCCATGACAACCACTATTTACATGAGATATGATGAGAGGAATTTGTATGGATTTTGGTGTGGGAAGTGACGACCATGGCTAGGTATTTATAGAAAAAAATTTAGAATTTTTTAATTTTTTTTTAGTATTTAAATTGGTCGTTGACATCACGCCGACGTCAGCTTGCCCAGGCAAGTCTTACCGTCGGACTTGCCCAATTTCATGGGCCCACTTCTTGCCATGGCAACTTTTCCTTTGTAGGGCCTAGGCCCATGACAAAAGAGAATGGGTGGAAGTGCTCTAAGAGGAAACATGGGAGGTAGTCATTAGAGTGCATTTGTCTACGTAAGTGGTGCTTCTTGCTCAATGCTTTTTTCAGTTTCTTTTTGCCTTTTTTTCCCTTTATTTGGATGGAGAACATCCCATTGACTTTTTTGAATTATATAATATTTTCATATCTCAAACATGGGACTTAGGCTGTGATAATTTTTTGATGACCTTTACTATTGAGAGGGACAATAGCATACTAAACTTATACATATTACATGGATGGTAGGACTCGAATCAAATGCCTTTCCTGGGGGAGCAATTGCTCCAAACCACTACACTAGTGGGTCCCTTGCAGTTTGAGATATTTAGGGCCCGTTTGGTATCCTACTCAAAAAATGATTTAAAAAAAATATGAATTTTTAAATATTGATTTTAGGATCTGAAAACTCGTTCGGTATTGAACTGCAAAGTATCTTTAAGATCTAAAAAAATTGAAGTTAAAATCAGAAAATTAGAAACCCTAATTCCCAAATTAAAATTAACAAAACATAAGGAGAGAGAGAGAGAGAGAGAGAGAGAGAGAGAGAGAGAGAGAGAAAATGTAAAATCTCACTTTTTTTGTTTTCAATAATTCTAATTTTGAGTTTTGTTTGGGTTTGGATTTTTAAAAATGAGTCTACCAAACGGATTTTTTTGGGACTTTGTACATTTGTTTTGAGTTTATAAAATTGGATAGAGATAGGGGGCGAGTCTAGGATACCAAACGGGACCTTAGTTATTCCTTTAATTTTCAGAAAATTTTCCATGCCTAACCTGTTGGAGAGGCTTTGCACTTTGTTGCAAAATTTCAATATGGGATTCATTTAAAATGTCTCTCGTACTTAGTGATAAAATTAATAAAATTATCCTCGTACCATTGATAGGTTCATATTGTTTTTAAGTATCACTTTTATTTTTGTTTTATCACCTCTCTTATTCTTTCATATTACCTCTTTTTTCTTTAATTACAAAACAATTTTAAATTTTTCTCAAAAAAACAAGCAATTTTAAATTATGAAGGAAAAGAAAGGTGCCAAGTAGGTCTTTAATATGGGAACTGAAGGAGCTTTTTTTGTTTTTGTTTTTGTGATCAGAACTAACTAGGTTGAAGGCTCGTTACTGCCAAGGTGTCATGGGGGCTTGAACCTGATACCACTGGTCTGCAAATCAAGGTCCTTTTTCAGTAAGCTAAACCTCGTTGGCAATAATATGAGACATTTGATTTGCGGCCAATTAGTGAACTATGATAGTGGGTTTCGATACAACGACTTGCTCAAATTTAATTTGTATTATTAATTGGACATAAGAGCACTTCCACCCATTTGCCATGACAAAGGGTAAGGGCAAGGCAATGGCTGTTACTATTCATGTGAATAGTGGCAGCCCTTGTAAAAGGTTGTGGTGTTTCCATCCATTGCCATGGCAACTGAAGGGCAACCACTATTCACATGAGATATGAGGAGAGGAATTTGTATAGAGTAGTGGGAAGTGAAGAATATGACTAAGTATTTAATTTAAAAAAATTCTGAAATTTTTAGTATTTGTTGCTAACGTCATCATTGACGTTAGCAAACCATCGAACCCAGGCAACATCCCAGGCTGTTCTTGCCTTTGGGCTGGCCTAGTTTAATGGGACCCATGATTTGCCAAGGCTGTAGAAGCCCGCTGGAACTACAAATTGGGGCTAGGCCCCTTGTTGCCCTGGCTGGGGGGGCACCGGTGGAGGTGCTCTAATAGAGAGAAAACGATTGTACTAAAATAAAAGAAACTGGGGACAGCTTCAGTAGTATAGTCTCATTTTCATTGAAGAAAGTCGCAGTGTTTATAAATTTATAGTAATTTGGACCACGTTACTTGTTCCAATCTGGGTGTATAATTGAAAGATGGGGACCAGACCAAACCAACCTGTTCATTGCTATGCCATGCTGTAGTAGTACCATGTTTCTCTATTAATCCAGTTCACGCCACCAGGAGAGGACCACTGTGATGACTTGCTTTGCTTCTCATCTTGTACACTTTGTGTGGTTCTCAATCCCTTCTTATGAAATATATAAGAA